CTCGTTCGTCCAGTATTTAAAAAAAGGAGAATTTAACGTTAAACGACGAAAGAACGCAGTCAGAAAATATTATAATTGACTTCGAGCAAAAAAGTCTAAACAGGCTCACAAAAAATTACGGTGCGTGCACTTCAATGCGGAACACTCGGGTATCCAATGACTGAAAACTATGGAAAAGTGCCAGAGAATAGCGAAGTTTAGAATGCAATTAAACACAAAAACTGCAATGCGCAGAGGGGTAATGAGTGAAGTGAATAGTGAAGCGTCACGCTCATTGCTCCTGCGCGGATCACATTTTTTCAGAAAATATTGTTGTATAGTCATGTTTTAGGCTATTTACGTTCTTCGTTGTTGTTTTACGAGAAAGTGTGAGAAAAATACCAGTTTCTATCATTTTGTGGGGTCTAAACATTTAGTAGAAGCCGCCGTCGGTCGATTGGAAGAAGTGAGGCCTGGTTCACACTTACAGCTAATGCGCTGTCGCCGAACGGAATTGGCCGCGGCAATGCACAGGGGACGCTACGCCCGGCGGCCGAATTCTTGCAGATTCGCCCGCCGATGCGCAAGTGTGAACCAGGCCTGAGAGTACCCTTTCGGTGCTGATTTGCATATTTCGGTGAATCTTCAAAAGCGCAGCCCCTATTAGCGGCGAGATATTTTGGTGACGCCCTCGTATACGGTTTCCTCTCGTGACGTCATTACCTTACGGACAACAAGTTCGACGGTGTTTATAATTAGCACGGTGGAAGCTATTGCGCTCTGAAACCAACACTACCAACACCGTCAAAATTGAAGTTCTTTCATTACTCTTATTTCTGTCGATGAGAAAACCTTTGCTGACTTCATAGTCATCATTCGGCCAATCGTAGAAGGCCGACCACAGCGACGCTTTTGATCGCACACGTCGCCATCTTTCTGCCCTTGCAAAAACAAGTGTGATCGCGCAGGCACGCGCAACCAAAGCACTACCGAAGCCAGCGAGCTCGCGTTGAAGGCGGAGCATCTGGCCTCAGCTTGGAACGGAGTAGCAAACGCCCCTGGGACGTTGAAGCCCTCAGGTGCTTCAACGTCCCAGTATTCGGAGTCTAGAAAACAAACGTTCCGATTCAGCACTGCTAACGAGCATGGTGGCCAGGATTGGCAGCAGGCGGGTTACATCACGATACAAAGCCTCTGGGCAAATGCAAGTTGCCCGTACCGCCGAGACGCGCTACGCGGTGCGGTGCCTCCACATCTGTGTCAAAACCAGTACTTCCCCTGCGCGGATCACATTTTTTCAGAAAATATCGTTATATAGTCATGTTTTAGGCTATTTCCGTTTAAGTTTAAGAAAAAAAATACTAGTTTCTATCATTTAGTGGGGTCTAAACATTTAGTGGAAGCCGCCGTCGGTCGATAGAAAGAAGTGAGAGTACCCTTTCGGTGCCGATTTGCATATTTCGGTGAATGTTCAAAAGCGCAGCCCCTATTAGAGGCGAGATGTTTTGGTGGCGCCCTCCTATGGTTTCCTCTCGTGACGTCATTACCTTACGGACAACAGGTTCGGCGGTGTTTATAATTAGCATGGTGGAAGCTATTGCGCTAAGCAGGCGGGTTAAGCTAAGCAGGCGGGTTACATTAGGATACAAAGCCTCTAGGCAAATGCTAGTTGCCTGTACCGCCGAGACGCGCTACGCGGTGCGGTCCCTCCACATCTGTGTCAAAACCAGTACTTCCCCAGGAAGTATATTTAACAAAACGAATGCTCCGCACAGGCCGCCGATTTGATCGAAGTCGAGGCTTGCGACATAGAGACCGACGTCGTTGGCCACAACATCGCACTCGCCTAGGGCGGACGATGCTGCCTGACGAGAATGTGCCGACTCTAGCTGTTGGAGACGGTGATGACACGCTTGAAGTTGTAGGTCAATAATCATTCTTAAAGAAAAAAAAAAAAAGAACGTCAAGAACGGCTTGGCTTTTGAACTCATTTTTGAAAAAGTTCCACGACTCACGTGCTCAACGCAAGCACGTAAACATTACCCACTTCGGCGATTAAAGAAGTCAACTAGATACGCTTTGAAACCAAGTGATTATGAGCATTACAAATATGCTTCAACAGTGCATATGCTGTCGCTTTTCTCTGTTGCTTCTTTTCTTTTTTGTTTTTTTTTAACGATGGGGATGTTTGTGTGTGTGTGTTTTTTGCATTTTTGTGCCATATTGAAGCTAAATAAGCGCAGGCGAGTGAACCCTAAAAAAAGAAAAAACGGAGCAAAAAAACGAAAAAAACAAAAACGCTAAGCTGTTTGTTATTTTGTCGTCCGGTTTTCTCCGGATTGTAGGGTTCGTAAAGTCAAATCATTGCTATTTTGGAATTTTGTTGTGCTGCCCTGAAATTGTCGTCGAGTCCTTGACACTCAAAGGGTAGGGGAACTTTAGTTAAGCCGCCTGCCTTCCCCGAAGCGAGGCCAGCGTCTTTCGAGGTCAGGATTTCACGGCTTTTATGACGTCGGGAGCTAAGCCATTCGCACCTGCGAGCCTGAAGAAAGGCTTCGGTTACAAACGTGGCCGAGTTTGGAGAGGGCTGTTCGAAGAGCCGGAGCCGGAGATGTGTTTTTCACGCAGTCCACGGACAGCGTCGTCTTTTTCGTTTTGCTTCGGTATGTTGTGGGCATGCACCGCTCCTCGCCGTAGTGGATTGTCGAAACGAAACACACACACAAAAAAATACTGACATTGGAAAAGTGGAAGGGGTAAAGGGGGACAACCATGAAACTTCGGCGGTGTTCCGACCCTTCAACACACAACACCCCGTCCCCTGGCTACGCCGCTGGTGTGCAAATACGTTCGTGTTTTCCAAATAAAATTGAGCTGCCGGTGGCCGCTCTGAGTTTGCACTACTACTTCTTTCAGTTCGGTTGTTTGTTTTTTCTGGCGCTTCTAAGTATACGTTTGTTGCAGCTGACGTCACTTCCGGCTAAACTGTAGGTCAAAACAAACATTGTCGTCTACTATCAGTGCCTTGTGACCATGTTGGAGGCAAAAAATGTTCTTCTCCTGACACGAAGCGCAGTCCATAAACCCGTAGTTAGGGTACGAAGCTTTTCTATCAAGATCATAAGTCAACATAATAATCTAAAGCGAAAGTCCCATGCGTATGGCCGCGACGGGAGGGCGATGCATAGACGCGGACATCGGCGGCCTCATTATCGCTGGCGACGCATATGCACGAAGGAGCAGCAAAAAGCAACCTGTAAATTCTGCAGTTTCTTTTTTTTTCTAATTAGCAGAAAAAACATTTGAATTGCGCGTTGACAAAATTAAGTAAAGGTAGGCTGTATCAACTCACGTATTAAAATATCCTTGCCCATCTCCCCCCCCCCAAAAAAAAAAAGAAGAAGCGGCTAGGGAAAAAGTGAAAGCCGTTTACAAATGCCTGTAACGCCGAATTGGAGCGCAGCTCTTGAGGAGGAGGAGTGAAGGATACTGAGGGGAGGGTAGACCCCTCCTCCTTCTCCTCCTCCTCCCCTCATTCTTTAATATGCTCCTGCTCCGCGGGGGGTCACGTGACCTCGGGGGGGGGGTGTCAAATGACTTCGGGGAGGGGGGTCACGTGACCTCGGGGAGGCGTGACCTGGTGGTCACGTGACCTTGGGTGTCACATGGGGGTCACCTCAAGGTCACGTGACCCCCAAGGTGACCCCCACGTGACCTGGAGGGGTCACGTGACCTCGGGGGGTCACGTGACCTCAGAGGGGTCACGTGACCTCGGGGTTCACGTGGGGGTCACCTTGGGGTCACGTGACCTTGATGTGACCTTGGGAGGGGTCACGTGACCTTGGGGGTCACGTGACCTCGGGGGTCACGTGACCTTGGGGAGGAGACCACGTGACCTCGGGGGTCACGTGACCTTGAGATGACCTTGGGAGGGGTCACGTGACCTTCAGGGGGTCACGTGGGGTCACGTGACCTTGAGATGACCTTGGGAGGGGTCACGTGACCTGGAGGGGTCACGTGACCTTGGGGGTCACATGACCTTGGGGGTCACGTGACCTTGGGATGACCTTGGCTACGCCGACGCCGACGCCGCTCAAGCCGGGAACGGGCCCCTAAGAGCTGCGCTCTAAAAAAAAACGTCCCCGGAAAAAGAAAAACACAACAACAACAAAAATCTGCGCCGAACAGCGTCGAAAATGCGCCGACCCCATAGCGGCGCCATCTGTTGACAGCCCGTGATATCGCGAGGAGAAACTAACTCTAGCTACAGTTACTCTAGAGTTCGAGTGAGGGTTAAGGGAGAGTATCATCGAAAGAAGCGGTCGCGAAAGAGTAACTTGGATGAAGAGAGGGTTAAAGTAGGGTAACTTAGGGCAGTTACTCTCCTTTGACACCTTTTTTTTTTTAGAGTGTAGTTCTGACGTGTGGTCCCAACAGTCTCTCGCCAACGATTTGTTTCATAAAGCGGGAGCGAGAAAAACGTTACAAGAGCGAGCAGCATGATTTCTTGCCCGTGCTGATGCCTGTGCCGTAGAGACGGACGATCTCTTTGCGTATGCCGAAGCGGCACGTTTTCCAAGTTTGCGATTCTGTGTTGTGAATAAAGTGAGTTTGGATGTCACGTTTTAGAGCGCAGCTCTTAGGGGCCCGTTTCCAGCCTGAGCGGCGTCGGCGTCGCCGTCGGCATCGCCGTCGGCGTCGTCGTCTGCGTCGCCGTTGGCGTCGGCGTCGGCGTAACCGCGCCCCTCCCCTCCTCCTCCCCTCTTCCTCCTCCCCCTCCTCCTCCCCCTCTTCCCCTCATTATCTAGTATGGTCCGAGGGGGTCACGTGACCTTGGGGGGGTCACATGACCCGTTTCCAGCCTATGCGGCGTCGGCGTCGGCGTAACCGCGCCCCTCCCCCTCCTCCTCCTCCCCTCCTCCTCCTCCCCCTCCTCCTCCCCTCCTCCCCTCATTATCTAGTATGGTCCGAGGGGGTCACGTGACCTCGGGGGAGATTTCGCGTTACATTAGGGGAACAACTGCGTCGAGTTAGTTGAACAAGAAAGGATTTATATACAATATTTACATGATGGTTCCGTTTGCTTTTGGAGCGCCGTAGCTGTCATCGTCCCTTCTTTTTCGTCGTATCTCTCCTTTTCCTCTTCTTCTATAGACGATAATTTTCAACAAACTCCCCCCGAAATGAGCGAATGCTCATTCTTGCAATTCCAGCGGGTATAATAACTGTATCGGACGGCGGAGCTCTCCCCCACTGGGCAGCACAATCCTGCATGCTCGAACCTTGCCGTCCTTTCCTGGGAAAGTCTCTTTAACTCTGCAGAATTTCCACATCTGCCGTGGGAGTCGGTCGTCTTTGAGAAGGACGATGTCATCGGTTTGTAAACCACTTGAACTGTTGGGTTTGGTGATGTGAGCTGACCTCAGTTCTAGCAAATATTCAGATCTCCATCTTCTCCAAAATTGCTCTATGCTAGTGCATCGATATTTCCACCGTCGCGCTAAGTGTCCAGAACTTGCTTCATCTTTTGCTGGTAAGTGATGTGGGGGAAGGGTGGTCAGTTTACGTCCCAATAAAAAGTGTGCTGGAGATAGAGCCTCTGGTTCTTTAGGGTTGTTATAAATGTACGTCACTGGACGGGAGTTGACTACAGCTTCTACCTCAGTGAGGACCGTGGCCAGTTCTTCGAAATTCAAACTACTACGGCCCAGAACCTTGCGTAGTGAGACTTTGACCGACCTCACTAGTCTCTCCCAAAAACCGCCCCACCATGCGGCTCTTTCTACAATTGTTTTCCACCTAATCCTGTGATTTGCAAAGTAGGTCTGCGCTTCCTCTCCTTGTATTGCTTCAAACATTTGTCTGATATCTTTAGCGGCTCGTTTGAACGTTGAGGCGTTATCTGAATAAATCGTTTTTGCGATGCCTCGGCGTGCAACGAAGCGTTTGAACGCCAACAAAAATGCTGTTGTCGATAGGTCACTCACAAGTTCGAGGTGCACGGCACGTGTTACGGCACAAGTGAAAAGTGCAATGTAAACCTTGCTACTTCCGTAGTGATGTCGACATAACAACGGTCCCGCAAAATCCACACCAGTAGTTTCGAATGGTTCGCATCTTGAAACTCTGTCGGCTGGTAGTGGAGCTACCGGCTCTGAGGCAGGTGCACAGCTTTGTCTTTGGCAAGTTAAACAGCGACGTATTACTTTCTGTATGACTTGTCTTGCCTTTATAATCCAGTAAGTTTCCCGTAGCTGCGTCAAAGTGTCTTGAACTCCGGCGTGTAGCAGTCGACGATGTTCTTTCTCAATGAGAAGGGTAGTGAACCGGTGATTTGCAGGTAAAATTATTGGGTGTTTTACGCTTTCCTCGTTGTTACTAAATTGTAAACGACCACCAACTCTCACAATTTCATCACTGTCCATAATTGGGTTGAACGACTTGATTTTTGATTTTTTGTCAACTTGCTGCTGATCTTTCAGGTGTACGATTTCCTTCGGGAAAGCCTGCAATTGTGTAGCCGCTATCCAGTATTTTTCTGCGTCTATGATTTCATCGCTTGTTAGCGCTCCCCTGCGTTGTCCTTGTTGTTTTATGTTGTTTACGAAGCGTTTAATCCAGGCCGTCACTCGAACCAACTTATTAAATGAACTGTAGTTCTCCAAGTTCATCAGATGAATTTCGTCGGGTATTGTGAGTTGAACAACAGTATCTTTCTTTTCTTCAGCCTTGTACTCTTCGCATTCTGGTCTTTCCTCAACTTGACTTGGCCAGGATGATTCCGAGCATTGAAGCCAGATGGGTCCATTCCACCATGTGTTGTTCTCAACAAGAGCACTTGGCATGAGTCCACGCGTTAAAAGATCTGCTGGGTTTTCTGAACCAGGACAATGTCTCCAGTTGATTGGTTCCGTCAGACCTTGGATCTCTGAGACGCGATTTGCAATAAACTGCTTCCACCGGTTTGCAGAACTACGAATCCAATAAAAGACGATCATGGAGTCAGTCCACAGATACACTGGGAGTCCTTCCATCTTCAACTTCTTTGTTAGATAATGTGCCAAACGAGCGCCAATTAATGCTCCCATAAGCTCTAGTCGCGGAAGGGTCAACCGCTTGAGGGGTGCCACTCTCGATTTCGCCATTACAATGGTCACACACTTTCTTCCCTCTTCCTCTTTCGATGCCACGTACGCTACAGCTCCGTACGCTTTTGTGCTAGCATCGCAGAAGACATGCAATGCCTTTTCTGTTTTGTCTTTGTTGAAGTCGCGAACGATGAGTCTTGGAACAGCGACGTCCTTCAAGGCAGTGAGGTCTGTACACCACTTGTCCCATGCTTCGTATAAGTCTGAAGGTAACACCTGATCCCACTCAACTCCTCGCTCCCAAAGTCGTTGAAATAGCATTTTTATGGTTGTCACGGTGGGAGCAAGAAAACCCATAGGGTCAAATATGCGAGCCGTTGCTTGAAGTACGAAGCGTTTGCTGTCTTCACGTGAGCACAGAAAGTCAATTAGAGGTTCTATGTCGAAATTGATGATGTCTGCTTGTGCTTCCCAACCAATGCCTAGAACCTTTGTTCGGCCAATTTGTTCGGTTAGTGGTACTTGGCCGGATCCTTCTTCCTTTAATTCTGATAACAACCTTGGTTCATTTGATTTCCACTTTCTAAGATGCATTCCCGCCTTTTCTAGTATCTTTGTTGCTTCTCTGCATAGTACCTGGGCTCCTTCCAAATCATCGGCGCCAGTTACCAGGTCGTCAACATACATGTGCTGTTTTAGAGTATTCGAGGTATCGGGAAATTCTTCGTTCATCAAGTCGAAATGGTGTCTCAACGTTGCTGCCAGGAGAAACGGACTTGATGTTGCCCCAAATGGAACTCTGGTCATTCTCCATGTTGTTATAGGCGGAAGGTGATGTCCTTGCTGTGGAGTAGTTTCGTACCATAAAAAACGTAAGGCATCTCTGTCTTCCTCCGCCAACATCACCTGTAAAAAAGCCTTCTCGATGTCTGCTATTACGACGACATTGTGAGTACGAAACTCGATCAGCAGGTCTATTAATTCAGGATTTAAGTTCGTTCCACTGGATAAGGTGTCATTCAGTGAAAGTTCCCCTGCAGCGCTGGAGGACGCGTCGAATACCACCCGCAATTTTGTTGTCAGTCGTTCCTGTCGCACAACCGCTTGGTGTGGCATGTAATATACAGGATTTCCGCTTTTTTCATTACTTTGAACCTTTTCTGCAAACCCATTGCCAAAATATTCCCGCATTGCTGTGTTGTAGTCTCTCATGAACGCTTTGTTTTTCATGAGGCGTCCAGTCAGTGATCGGAGTCTTCGTTCTGCGTTCTCTTTGTTGTCTTTGAGCATCTCAACTTTATCATTCCAAGGGAGAAAAACTTGGTATCGTCCGTCTCCATATTTTACGCTCTTTTTAAAGTCTTCAAATTGAGCAATTTCGTTGGTTGACGTTTCTTGTTCCTTAATTCCGATATGCTCCAGTTCCCAGAACGATCGCAATTGTGTTGATATCTCAGTTGCGTCAGCTGTCGTAACCTTCATCACTCCAGTAATTGATGAGTAGATAGCAGTAGATGATCTTGAGGACATGGGCCCTTGTAGAGTCCAGCCGAGGATGGTGTCGACGGCCATCAATCCTGTTTTCAGGCGTCTCACGCTTCCACTTACCACGTCCCAATAGTGGTCGGCTCCGATTAGTAGGCTGATTCCGTTTTCACATTCGTCGTTGTTGAGAGACGTATCAGCAAGCAGCATGTCTTGTGGTATGTCCAGCGTGACGTCTGGTGGTGTGTGAATGATGTCAGCACATATCTGTGGGACTTCTAGGGCTTCAATTCGAACGTCCTTTCTGTTGTATTGGTTGCGCAGCCATAGCTCTACTCTTCGACACTTTCTTGAAGCTGTTACAGCGCTTTCTCCAAAGGTGAAGATCGTTAGGTCCTCTTCTCCTTAAACGTTCAGGTGAAGTTTCTCTGAGATGTCTCGTCTCACAAAGGTGCGTTGGCTTCCGCCATCAATGAGAAGCCGGACAAGCACACGGTTTTGTTCACCTTCTGCCCATGCTTTTGCCGTTTGTAGAAGGACTTGGCACGGCCCTCTGTTTTTGCTATTCGTTGCCTTTAGAGAGGACTGCAGCACTCTTTCGTTAGGGGCTTCCTCCTTACTTGTACTAGAATTTTCGTGCGGACCCTTGTTTCCTAGCGCGTTGTAGCTTGGATCGCACATTGCCGTGGCATGCCTTTTAGAACATTGTGCGCACTTTAGCCACCTTGCGCTTCTGCAATCCCTTGCACGGTGGTTTTGCTTCGTGCATCGAAAGCATCGATTGTTCCTTTTCAGCATTTCTTTTTTCTCTTCCAATGGCATTGGTATTGAACAGTTGGCAGCTAGGTGGTCATAGGATCCACAGAACAAGCATTGTTTCTCTTCTTTCTGAGTTCCTGTCGCAAACATAGCTGCTGAAGGCGGGTATTGTGTCTGTCGGTCTCTTCCTCCAGGAGTAGCTCTATCGAAATTGGAAGTTGGTTTTCTTTGATTTCTATGCTGAGTCCGCTCTCGGCTTTCAATTTCCGTTTTCAGGAAGTCCAAGAATCGTTTTAGCTCGTTGCCTTCGTTTGTTGATACTGCTGTTGTCTTTCGATGATATTCCAGTTCGAGATCTGATGGCACGGCTTTTCGCAGAACCGTTAGGAGGATTGTTCCGTATGTGGTTGAACATACACCAAGTGCCTCAAGACTACGAACTCCAGACTCAACTTCGTCGTATAATAACCTGAGCTTCTCGACGTCCTGAGAGTTGCTTATTGTTTTTACAGCCAGCAATCGTGCAAGGTGTTCTTCTATGATGAGTTCTTTTTTCCCGAATCTTGCTTTCAAATTGTCCAGTGCAACTGCGTAATTTTCAGATGTTAGTTGAAAACCGTCAATTGCCGCAGCAGCTTTGCTTGTAAGGTAGCTCTTCAAGTATTTAAACTTGTCAATTGCCGAGAGAGACACATTTTTGTGGATCGTAGCGTCAAACTGGTCCCAGAAGCCCTGCCATGACCGAATATCTCCAGAAAATTTGGCGATTTCTAATTTCGGAAGCTTCGCTGTTGCGTGTGTCCGACTTGCATAGAGCTGTTGTTCAGATCTACCAACTTGTGTCGAGGTCTCCGACGTTCTGTTGATCATTCGCTCTTGCTCTCTGAGACTCTGAAGGATCTTTGTTTTCGTTGCGCTAATTCTTTCGGTGTAGCCTTCAGCGGTTTCCATCTCCTGTTCGAGCGTGTTGTCAGTGATGCCTCTCTCAATCTGGTCATTAATTTCCTTCAGTGCACCTTCTTTGATTGTTAAGATGTTAAGTTTCTCTTCCAGCTCACCGATGGGCTTTGGTTCCATGGATAGAAGACCGACGGTTTCGGTTATAATTCTGGTAGCCGATGACCGAACCACTGCTCTTCTTTTGAGTTGATCGATGGCTGCTGGCGTTAGAGGATCCATTTCCGTTGCGGTAAGTACCTTAGACGATCGTTAGGCCTTACGATGGATGTTCAAAGTCTTTTCTTGTTTGACCTTGGCTCAGCTATTCCCGGGTTTCGGCACCATGATTTTGCGTTACATTAGGGGAACAACTGCGTCGAGTTAGTTGAACAAGAAAGGATTTATATACAATATTTACATGATGGTTCCGTTTGCTTTTGGAGCGCCGTAGCTGTCATCGTCCCTTCTTTTTCGTCGTATCTCTCCTTTTCCTCTTCTTCTATAGACGATAATTTTCAACAGGAGGGGGTTACATGACCCGTTTCCAGCCTGTGCGACGTCGGCGTAACCGCGCCCCTCCCCCTCCTCCTCCTCTCCCTCCTTCTCATCCTCCTTCTCCTCCTCCTCCCCTTATTGTATGGTCCGGGGGGGTCACGTGACCTCTGGGGGAGGGGGTCACATGACGGGGCGAGGAGGAGGAGGGGGGGAGGAGGAGGAGGGGGAGGAGGAGGGGGAGGCGGAGGTGAGGGGAGGGGAGCTTGAAGGACGAGGAGGCGGTGAAGGAGAGGGAGGGGTGGAGGAGGAGGAATTTCTAACCAATTCAGCGTTACAGGAAGTTGTAAACGGCTTTGACTTTTTTTAGTGGCAGCGAAAGCCGCTACAAAAGGCAGAGCAGTTAGAAAAAAAACAAAAACATGAAAAATTGTTAAAAGGACCTGAATATTCGATGGAGTTGAAAGGCTACCAACGTACCAACTCGCCCAGTTATTCTTAGTCAAAGAATAATAGCCAATACTAATAAATTAAATAGATGCCAACTTTTAATTGGTTAGAAATTTATAATTGATGCAGTACAGCCCTGCCCTGCTCTAGTGCTTTTATGGTATCAGATAATGTGTAAATATATAGGATAGTTCATAGCAACCAAATATGTCCGACCCCGTATATTGAATCTTTTCTCTAAAAGATCGAAGTTATATAAAAAAAAGTGCTTATCATAAATTAAGCCGCACCACTGAATGTGTAATAGCGTATGACTTGCATGTGAGTTCACAGCAAAAGAAAAGGAGGCATTAGAAAAATGCCAATCATTTTGTTTGCCCTGTGTTAGAGCTTCTTTCAGGTATCAGGCTTTCAGAAACGATGTTGTCCGATTTTCCTCGCCCTTTTGTCAGGATGAAGTTGTTACTATCTTGCCTTCCTCACATAGTGGGCCTTTGAGCGAATTATGTGATGTTATATCATAGAGTGGCATAGGGTAATTTTCTCTCCTATTTTTACGCAGGATGTAATGGCATACCATCATCACAAAGGAGAGTTTACAGTGAGGCAGGCTCAGAAAATTGAATAAAGTGATAAGTAGGATTTCAATTTCTGTCTTTTCAATTACGCGAAGAACACTGATCATAATGTTTGTATGCTACACATACATACTTTCAGTTGAAAAATGCAATGCACCTCTTCTTTATGGCTTTTCTCATACACTTTCAGAAGACGCCGGTACGTCATTCTCACGAGGAATAGAGCTGCCAAAGATTTCCTCGTTAATTTCCTGACTCGTTTTAGAGCGCAGCTCTTAGGGGCCCGTTTCCAGCCTGAGCGGCGTCGGCGTCGGCGTCGGCGTCGCCGTTGGCGTCGGCGTCGCCGTTGGCGTCGGCGTCGCCGTTGGCGACGGCGTCGCCGTCGGGGTCGGCGTAACCGCGCCCCTCCCCTCCTCCTCCTCCCCCCTCCTCCTCCTTCTCCTCCTCCTCCCCTCATTGTCTAGTATGGTGCGGGGAGGTCACGTGACCTCGGGGGCAGGTCACCCCCCCAAGGTCACATGACCTTGGGGGGGCGAGGAGGAGGAGGAGGGCAGAGGTCCGGGGGGTCACGTGGCCTAGGGAAGGGGGGGTCACATGACCTTGGGCGGGGCGTCACGT